AGCACTGCCATTTGGGGTGGTCCTGGGGTCAAGTAGGTTTAGTAAACACTATACAGCATGTGCCCTCCTCCCCTCGGAGAAGTTCACTTCCCCGGGGGATGTCCAGCAACAAAGACTGACTTCACTTGATACACTCCTTTCAGGGAACCCTTGTTAATGTCCCACAGAACTGGTGTTCTGTGGACAGGCAGTGTTGCAGGAGAGGAAAGGCCTATGTGGTGATTTTGGGAAGGATCCCCAAGCAATGCACCTGGGTTTCCTCCTGGCAGTTTGCTTGGAACGTGTTTCCTGCTCTGAGTGTGCTTGGAAGAATCATCAGCAACTGAGTGTGGCTGACTACTTTCCTGGCAGCTCTGCTGAGCAGCAGGCAGACTCGAGGGTCTCTCGCTGTGCTTGGGGTGGTAGGTGTGGCCTTCTCTGTCCCCTTGGAGGGAGCACTGGGATTGGCTCACTGTTCTCTTGGGCACCTTGAAGGACAAGGAGTCACTTGAATTCATTTCTTCTCCCCAAGATGGGGAAGACATTAAGTATCTATGGGAACGGGGCTGTATGGTTTTATTTTGCTTTTGGAGAAATCATCTTCGAGTTTAATTTTTGGTCTCTTTTATTGTCACTGATTTTGCAGTTTACGCAACTTAATTTCCGATTCCATGAAGGCAAAGATCATTGCGTATGTGATCGTACTCGCCTTGCATATAAACGACTTCCAGATTGACCTGACGTTGTTACAGAGGGACCTGAAGCTCAGTGAGAAAAGGTGGGCACACAGAACGGAAAGCTCGTTAGGGTGCCTTGCTGTATTCCTAGTGCTGCCGGAAAGCACGAGGCTTCAGCAGGCGAACTGGGGACTTTAGTAGGGAAAAGACTTGGGACTAATAGATGTGGTCACACAACCCAGAAGGGGAATTGTTGGGCTTCAGACCTGAGCCTTCCCATGGCATTCTGTCCCTGTGTAACCAGGCAGCCTCCGGTCTCCAAATACCTTTCTCTGGGTGATTCTGTATGGTCCTGAGGGTGGAACCCAGGGGTGGAAGTTACAAGAACCCAATTTCATCTTAGCAAAAAGACCTTTCTCAGAGTCAGGTGGAGGGGCTGCCAGGTGGTGGGGCCGCTGTTTGGCAGGATGTTGCACTGGGGCTGCTCTTACTGGACTGGGAGAGTTGGCAGAGATGACCTTTCAGAAGGGATTCAGACTGAGTAGGAGCAGAATTCCCAGGATTCCGAGTGATGGAACCTGTAGGGGCATCTGACCCTCAGGGACCCTGATGTTCAGGAGAGCCTGTAACACCTGCCTGGGCCTAGCAGTCCATAGAGGGATTATTCCGAGGGCTGTCCACCGGTGTTGCATTCTCACCGGCAGTGGTGGTGCAAATCAGCCCCTAAGTACCTGTTTCAGCACACTTCTAGCAAGTGTTCAATCCTGGTTGTAGGCAGTAAACCAAGTTTATTAACAGGAACGAGACAGAGAACCTGGGTTGTAATCACCTATAAGGTATTTTCTAACGACCACACATGAAAATGAAATTGTCCGTTTGAAGACTCTCGGGGGATCTCATCTGCCTCTCGTGGGGGTCACTTTGGGGATCTGTCTTCATAGCCTGGAGCACCAATCCGCCGCTCCCTGCCCGCCTCCCTGAGCAGACATTGAGGAGACTCCATTTGTTTTGTGTGTGTTCCTCAGGATGCTCGAGATAGCAAAGGCCATGAGGCTGAAGATCTCTAAGCGAAAGGTGTCTCTGGCCGCCGGCGGGGAGGAGGAGCACAGACTGGGTACTCTGTGCATCCCGCTGCCTCCAGCGCAGACCTTGGACCGCCAGTCACAGCGGAGGAGACTCACGTAGAGGTGTGCTTTCCAGGCAGAAGCTTGGCCACACAACAGCCACTTCCTCTGCTCATTTCCATTGTCATTTTTTACAAGGGGGAAAAGCTTTGCTCTGGCATGGGTATGAAGCCACAAGCCAGCCTCTCAGTCATGCCTGTCTTAAGCAAAAACATAAAGTGACCATCATATTGGACTTTGTCTCCCTCCTTCAGTGTTGCTGTGATTATAAATGGCAGGTGGTTCTTGTGTTGTTTCACATGTGGTGATGTGGGAGGTGGGGCTTGGGAAGCAGAGCCAAAAGATCTCCCAGAAAACAAACTGTACCACATGATCTTAAGAAGAAAGGAGCTGAATACATGGGTAAGCTGTAAAGTTGTTAAAGGGGTGCAGGAGTGGGAATCAGGAGGTTGCCATCAGAAGTGCTCAGTTCAGAACACACTGCTGGGTTGCCATCCGGGCATCAAGAAACCACTCCTCCCCACAACTGCTTGAATTCTTGAAGCTGTGACGACACCGAGTTCAGCCACCCATGCTTTTAATATCCACATTCCCACCCCCTTGCCTGTCAGCACAAGTAACCAAGATCAAGAAGCTGCTTTCCATGTTGCTTCCTTCTGTGAGTGCTTATGTAGGAACCTAATTTGCATCCAGAATCCTAGCAGCAAGGGAGTTTTGGAAATAGGTTTCAGCTCTCCAGCTTCTAGTTACAGAGAAGCATACCTGAAGGAGACGGGAATGGATTCTGACTGCCAACAGCCTGTCTGCCACGGGGGAGATGGAGAAGTCAGTGTCCTAGGGGTGCTATGAGGAATGGGAATGTGATATGGAGGCTTGGGTATGTGGCTAACATGCAGACTCAGATCTTCAAGGCTTTTCTGGGAGCAGCTAAGGTTTGTGGTACTTGGTGTTGGGGAGCGAGGGGCAGTGAAGGAAGACAGAATTTATCTCTGAAAATGAGAAAGGGGGAAGTCTATGCAACAGCTGGGCCATCCATCAGGGAAGATGGTGGGAATGAGTCTTAGATGACTCACTTGACAGGTGGTCCTTGTATTTCTTCGAGCTCTGGGATGCTGTTATGAGAGCCCCTTCTGGAGTGAGGCCAGGTCTACAGTGTGTATTTTTCATGCTCTTCTCCCGTTCGTCTCATTCGTGTCTGATCCTAGGTGGTGGGCATTTGTAGCATATGTTGTCTCCTGCAGAGGTGTGAGCAGGCAATCTAAATGCCTTTTGTTTCCTGATCTAACCTGTTGTGAAAATCAAGTATGTGACTCTGCATTCCTGATCTGCCTCTGGGGAAAGAACTAATGTGCTTATAGGGTAGAATGTGTTTCCATGCATGTTTTTTAGATTCTGAGGGGCTGTCACTTGGAATTTCCAGGAATGATTGGGGCACAGCATGTGACCAGGCCTCTGAACAACCTCTGTCCCAGAGGAAGCAGCCTGTCCTCAGTGACTCACACAGAGCAGTGGTGTCGATAGGGAAGAGTCTAGGATGGCAGGTACTCGTCCTGGGTGACAACAGGTGTAACCTCACTAAATGTAGGCGGTGCATTCCCAGAGGCTGAAAAGCACATTTCTGTATATAAGAGGCTTGTGGGTTAAAAGGCTCAAGAGGGTCCTTGTTCAACTTAAACTAGTCTCCTGAAAGCAGCTAGCACAGTGCCTGACGCAGGCAGTGTATGTAGAATGAGTCATAGTTTATGAACTGCACCTTCTTTCCTGGGCAGGGCTATTCGGGGTAAACACTTGCAGAATAATGGAATCGTATTTATTTTTTTATAGTTCTAAAAAACCATTTGTTTACTAGTACATTCACAGTGGATACCTTGATCTCACCAAGTGTCCTGCCATAAGGTCTCCTGCTGTCCTCTTTGAAGAAAGGGAGGCTGTGGGCTAGAATCGGACCCTTAATAAGACTTGCAGTTTGTGGCATAATCTTAACCTACGGGTGTTGGCTAACTGTAGACGTCCTGGAGGAAGGTCTCTGCCTGTGGCCCTGACTTATTGTACACTGTTAACAGGGATGAGATCAAAGAGGATATATTCAACACACTGGCAGAGGACCCCTTTACTGTCTTTTAAAAACTTTATTTTGATATGTCATACTTAGAAAACAATTGCAAGAGTAGTACAAAGATGCCCTAACCGGTTTGGCTCAGTGGACAGAGCGTCAGCCTGCGGACTCAAGGGTCCCAGGTTCGATTCCGGTCAAGGGCATGCACCTTGGTTGCGAGCACATCCCCAGTAGTGAGTGCGCAGGAGGCAGCTGGTCGATGTTTCTAACTCTCTATCCCTCTCCCTTCCTCTCTGTAAAAAATCAATTTTATATATATATATTTAAAAGAGTAGTACAAAGAACTATATATCTTTTACCCAGATTCTCCAGCTGTCACTGTGGTGTCCAGCTGTGTGGGAGAGCAGGCCCTGCCCAATGAACCAGTGAGGCTACTGCAGAGCACTCCCAACTTCCCGGTTATTCCCCAGCCACAGAAGAGCTGGGATGGGTGTTCTGGTCCACTGCTGCCTCCAGGTGACTTGGAGGACCTGGTGTGTCTCAGCTGCTCCTTTTTCTGCTACCAAAGCCCTAGGTAACACCTGTCCTACCGACGTGCTCTTAACCTTTCATATAGTGAACTATCACCTCCTGGATCTTAACCAGCACCACCACTCAGGGCCTCAATCCCTTCTGTTAAGAAATGGGGCAATAACTTCCCGAAGTCGGTGTGTAATGTACTGCAGGTGGAACAGGAGGTGGTTTTAGTGGCACAGGGATATATCAAAACAGGTTTATGCGGGTTAGACTAAAGGGCGGTAACAGATTCCCCCAAACGTCACGTTTCAACAAAAGGTTTACTTGCTTGGGGGATTGTGAATATCTTAATAGTCTGTTTTAGTATGAATTAGAAAACACTAGCTTTTCATTTATAAGTAGTGATGCAAACATTTCTTTTTAGTTCGGCAAAGTTAAGTGTCCTGGATAGGATCCTGGAATGGAGAAAGGACATTAGGGAACAACTAAGAAAATCAGAGAAAACCATAGACTTTGGTAAATAATAATGTGTTCAGTACTGGTTAATTTGACAAATGTACCACACTAATGTAAGATGTTAGGGAAACCTGGGGAGGAGGGTAATATGGGAACTCTGTACTTCCTTATCTGCTCACTTTTTCTGTAAATTTAAAACTCTCCTTTAAAAAAGTCTTTAAAAAGAGGGTTTAAAGAAGAATATTAAGTACTAACTTTCTCCTCTGGTGACATGTGGATATAGCAAAAACTAAGATGCTGAGTAACTGAAGTTGGGAGAATGTGTTCCTGGGTCTGCCCACACCCGGGACTGCTACTGTTGATCTTCACAAAGCCCAAGGGCAGGAGGCAGGGCTGCAACACCCACCTGCAGGGCCCCCCTCTCACCCCCCAGCGATGCACCAGGAAACAGACCTTGAAACCTGGAAGGACAGGGTGGGCCTGGGATTCCATTCCATCCCCTTCAGAGGAAGCCTAGGGAAGGCGAGCGGTGCAGTCCACATCCAGCTGCCTGGGAACTCCAGCATATATCCAGCCAAGGAAAGTCCCCCAAATTCCCTCTTTTAAAATATAGAACTTTATTTTAGTTGCTGAGTTTTCATAAGCGTTTGGTTCACAGAAAAGTCATTTCTTACAAAATAATAAAGGCAGCATTTTGTACAGCGACTCACATTGGGGCCACCAGAGAAGTGCAAAGGACAGTGGGGATGGAAGAGGCCGGCGCTCTTGTGCCTAAGGTCCTCAAGAAGCCCGCGCTCCTGGCTCCCTCCAGCCCCCTCCCACCCTACCTGGGACCTGGGAGAGCAGCACCAGAGGGCCTGGCAGAAGTGGCCTGGGAAGCCATTGGTGAGGTGCACGACAGCGACCCCAACAGACTGGTGAAGGCCTGGCATGAAAGGCCGAGTGGGAGGGGATTGTTCAGGTACAGAGGCTCCTGCATCCAACCCCGTTTCTCAAGCAGCCAGGGCAGGGTCTGAGCCCGCCTAGAACCTTGATACTCACAGTACAGCTCAGTGAAGCCCTTTGGGAACTGGCCTTCCTCTGCCCACTCGGGGCTACAGACCCTACCCCAGCCCTAGGCTGGGTACTGGGAACAGAGACAGTGAGATGGGGCCTATGCAGGTGAGTGGGACAGGGATGGGCCTGGAGAACACCAGGCGGAAAGTGC